AACGAATCAGCCAATGTTTGTCCGATCGATCAATCGATATGTCAAGGACGCATCTGACTGATGAGTCACTGCGTTGTTCTCGTATGCGTGACTTGTTCTGTATCTCTGCGTATCGAAATCTAATCAGAAGAATACAGTTGTCTCAATCCGTGTTCCCTCTGCGCGTTATTGTCGGGGGCTAAGCAAGAGTCGCTCGTATCATTCGTACGTCTGGACCGAACAGAACAACCTTAGCCATGGTACATAATCCACAGAGTAGAAGAAAGCTGCCACTGACGAACGGAACTTCTACTTACCGTGACAAAGCAAGACAAGTCACACTGTTCTAGTTCCCAATTTGGCTGTGGAGTGTATTTCGTCGAAGATTAACCGTGAATTTGCCTGTAATCAAAGACGTAGGTTTTTCTTTCTGATTTTACTACATACGCGATCCAAATTTTAAAAGCTTGAATATTCCCATGATAGCATTGAGAAAACGAGTCGGTGAGCAAACAATTGTTTTCGGATATTCCTAGTCATGCTCTTACGCGTCATATGGTGGAAAAAATTCTTACATAATTATGGTCATTGACTCAATCTAAGATCAATATTCGGAGGTATAGAGTAATGGGAGTGTGTGTTTGCGTGTGTGTTTGTGTTTAGGAAAGTTTAACTTGTTAGTTGATATGACCTTTCCCCACTTGGGTCAACTGACACGTCATGTTCCGTCTTGGTCTTCACACACGGCCAAGGCAATTGGAGCGCCCGCACCAATCGCTTTGGGCACACAGGTTGGGGCCTAATAAGCGAATGGCGATCGCCTTGGCCATAGCTAGTGTCCAAACTCGAACCGCCCTTGAGCGATTGATTGGGATGCGATAAAAAGCTTTCTACGGATCGATCTTGTGACCGGTGTCGACGAGATGCCCCACAATGGCGCTTGAGATACAGCCGGTTTTTCCCTGACTCAACCATCGCGGGTGGTGCTCCTTAACACGTTGAGACAAACGCCTTACCGTACGACCTATGTAACATGCGCCACAGACGCACTTAAAAGAATAGATTATCACGGATGAGATCAGTTTCAGCAGTTTGTCTTTCACCTGCATTCACATCACCGGCGATGTAGAGAATACTGTTCTAAGTTTTGCTGCGGGTAAGGTGGAATTTACAGCCACTTTCAGTGATTGTACTGGGCTCTCGGTGTGTGTGTCCCCCTTAAATGGGATCCTTCTATCTTGGGGACACAGATGGCGTTTTCCTTCTCCGGAGTGAGCCGAATGTTCTTATCGATGAACTTCTCCGGATAACCATTGTCCTGCAGCGTTTGGCGGATGAAGCGTAGTTCTTCATCCAGTGTGTCTGCTGAACAGATCTTCCGGGCTCGAAATGAGCCAATGGCTATAATTATGTAAGAATTTTTTCCACCATATGATGCGTAAGAGCATGACTAGGAATATCCGAAAACAATTGTTCGCTCACCGACTCGTTTTCTCGATCCAAATTTTTTTTTGGTATTCAAGCTCGTCCTTAGATATCCCACTGTACGACATTCTCTCAAAAGGATGAATATTTTCAAAGCTCTTTGGGTTTCGGGTTGACAAAGGTTTGATAACCTCAAAAAGTTAATTCGAAGTCAAAGTTTTATCATGGGAAATACTTAAAAGTGATTGCTTTTGTTCTCCTATAGGGTTTAGCACGAATGGATCGAATTACGGCTCATGGAAGGTTACAAAGTTTCACTGTTTCGTAAACTGTTATGGATGTTGCAATTTAAAACTAATCAAAGTTTCATCCAGGTTAAAAGAATCAATTGTGGGAGCAGAAACAGAGTGAGTCGGTGGAGAATTCCAACTAGTGCACACTCTGAGGGCAAATGAATCGCTCCGGTAGTCTAGTAAACAGTTTTGGAGCATCAGTCTGAATAAGCTCCCCCTGGGATGAGCAGGGTTCTTTATCATTCAATACTACAAAATTAAGTCGCTTCGAATTCGGCGATACTGTGTGAAGTACAACCCCAATGACTTCAGTCTTTCCAAAGAGGCTTTAGAATGTATTCCCTCGACCAATTTGGCGGCCATTCTTTGTGGACGTTCCAGATCGCTTTGCAGCCACTGATCAGTTTGTTTCGAGGACGTTGTTTTCCACACACACAGCAGAGCATTCGGTTAGGCACAGTTATTCAGTCAAGAAATATACTATGCAGTTCGTCAACCTCACAATCACATTTCAACTACCGTCTAGGAAGAGTACGTAAGAATTAATATATTGAAAAATAAAATACTAGTTCTATTGTTTACATTCTATTTGAGTAACGCTAACAGTTTGATTTTAACTAATCAACCTACGGACTCCATGCCAGAGGTGCAGGCTTTAACACTCCCAAACGAGACGTTGAACGTGCACAGCCAATGAGATCCAATGGGATTGAAAATCTATTAATGTGCTGTTCGCCCAGTGTATAGTTGACTGGATGATTTGCATGTTGTTCATGAAGATCTGAGTCTGAGTGACGCTCAGCGAAAATCAATAACACTGACTGCAAAACACTACTGAGAAGTAACTGAGCGTTGAGTGTGAAAAGCATGTTTGACTGTGGAAGCATCCCACAGAACCGGAAGTTCGGTCTACACAAATTTTCTGTTCTGCTCATCGGATTTGGAATTTCTATTGTAACTGCCTTCTTCAATCGGGTTCTGACATGCTCTAATTGTCCAAAAACAGAGTAGGAGGAACAAAAATAATTCCGATCATAATGAGATTAATTGATTGATTTCATTCTGAGACCGAATGTGAGTGATTCGCGACGGTCAATCGGTTGTTTGTTCATTCACATAGAATACTCGAAGTTGTACGGAGGTTGAATCAGGTTGGGAAGGGGGGGAGAGGAGCTTGTATAAACGTTTTTAAGGCAAACAGAACGGGGTTGTGTAGACGAATTCCCGCCACTTCTCTAAAATATGTATGTGTTCAAATTGTTGTTTTGGCAGATTGAAGTCTTATGTTGAAATTGTGAAAAGTTCAGTAGCCTCGGTGAATCCGAGCATGGATACCACCTACGCTTTTGTACAGTGCACGATCTACCAGCTGAGCAACCAGGTCTCGTATCGTGGGTTCGAATCCCCGCCGAGGCTACTGAACTTTTCACAATTTCAATATTTATATGATAATGAATGAAAACGAGTTTGTTGTGTACTCTGTTGTTTTGACTACCCCTGCCATAGCCTCATCCTGAATCGGTGATTTGGGATCAGCGTTGTCCGTTCGCGCAATCAGGAATGACACATTTTAAGCGATTCAACTGCCGATTGTTATCAGGAACATCCTTTCGCCTTTCGTTATTCGAAAAGTCAAGTACCACAAGATGAACAGAATTGAGAATGGTCATCAATTTTGCTTGCTCTCAGTCAGCTGTCTACAGCACAATAACTGGGCTGGAATGGTATAGCCAGAATACCATATATGGACATTCGCATAATTAGGGTGGATCGTTCGCAGTTGACTAGTTTTAATTATGTACCTCTTTTTATGCTCAACTCCTTATTCCGGCTTTTTGAAATCACACAAGCTCTCCCCCCCCCCCACGCGCACACCNGCGCACACCACTCCAATTCGATTGCTCAACTCTGATGGACTTTGGAAGTGATTCAACAAACAATCTTAATCACGTGACCCACTGTAATTATGTCAATAACCGTATCCTCTTATAACATTCCAAACCGCTGATTGTACATAAACAGCTGATTGACAGCACGCAATATATATATATATAGTCAAAACCAATTTTACTCATATCGTGTGGCCTGATTTAGCCAAACTCTGAGTTTTTCCGTATATTTTGTATTGTAACGGATCGCGTATATGATATATGATATATATCCAATCGGATTTGAGGATTTCTCTGTTGTGGAGGTAAATTATGTTGTGGACTTGTTACAGTTGTCATGAATAAAGTTGTTTAGACATACTTGGCTTAAGGAACAAGAAGTAGGGTAGTATTATGAATGATATTACGTTTTGATCAAATTCGTGTAGATTGATATAGGATATGTCTCTTCACTCCGATTCCTCTTCTTTCCCACAACGAAGGACATGAAGAGTGACACAGCACGGCATGTTAAAATAGCATAAACCCATGGGAGTGGGGAAAACCAGTTCTCACGGCATTCCGTTTCCACCCGCTGTCGTGCCATATATCGATCGTTTTGACGGTCTCAATGTGAATCAAGCTGTTCGATCAATCACAAAACCGATGACCTTAATGGACACGTGTTCCCGCACCTGATTGGTCTACCAAACGGTGGGTTGGGTTGGACACGCGAGCGAATCATGCAGTGGACATTCGGTGTGCGTACGCGTGAGGGTGTGTTTGTCTTCTGCTATAATAATTTCTATCTCAGCGTATGATTGATTAAAAAGTTTACGTTGGGGCTTCCTAGTCTATAGTTATTAATTAACAAATTGTTGTTCTTAATCAGTGCCTTCCTTTTATTTTAAGCAACCTTAAAATGAAATAGAAGACTAACATCTGTTTGAGAGACAACTAAATCAAAAATGAACCAAACACTACTACCATTAGCTCAGTATCGAGGCCACAAAGAGATAGATTAGGACAATTCACAAAGCGACCTAATACGCAAAAGATAAAAGATACAAAAAACCCAGTGATTATCCAAAGGGAACAAGAAAAACTCAAGCAAATTTTCCTCGGTCCACTGGCTAATCAAATCGATGGTGTCATCTCTAGAAAAGCGATGTGTATCAAAAATTTATCATCTTTCCGCACTCTTTCACTGTCAAGGGTAAAAAAGTTGATGGAAACACGTCTTGGTACTTCGTACTAAATATCATCGAACGAGAGCGCGTTCTGCCTCCATAGATGTGTCTATATCTGGAGTACTTTCTTTCTATTACCGATCAATTTTCCACATTAAACGGAATTAAGAAAATCGGTAAGGGTGCTGTGATATTTCGAAACAAACCCCTCCCTCTCTATTTCATTACCGAAGAAAAACATATGTTCACCGGGATTGTATGAACTCACTTGGTATGGACTGATCATAGGGTTTCCATGTGACAGGATGTTTAATTGTTCCTTCGGGTCGGCGAAAGGTACGATCAGTATTAATATAGGTCCGTCTATCCTCTTCTGCATCCCAGTCCTCCATTATGGTCTCCTCACGTGAATAGCGCATCCGATGTGGTGGAATGATCAGCCCAGGCCCCATAGTTGGTGCCCCCCATCCAGTACGATTAAATCCATAGTCTGGATTGTAATCACACACCGGAGCACCGCGTGCTAACCCCGGAATTATTGGCCCTGTGCCATGGGATACGAGTGGGGTCACAGTATCCGTTGGAGGTGGAATGGAATACATAATCAACGGGCGACGATAATCCATTCTGGGTATTCTTGATCCACCGGTTTCATCCAAAGTATGAGATCGTCGATATACGGATCCACGTGCAGTCCAACGATCTCGTCTATGAGGTGGCTCTATACCTAACAAAGGTGATTCATATTCCATGGTTCGGCGTCGGCCCGAATCCGCCAGATATCCGATATCTCGAGGAGATAAGTTGCTGGGCGAAGGGAGAAGATTTCCAGTCTGTTGTGCGTACCGAACCGCCGGTATGGTTGTCGGGGCTGTTAAAATAGATTGTTGTTGCGGGGGTAGTAATGGCGGTTGTTCTTGTACAGGAATCCACGATCGATAGGGATTCGCGTATTCCGTCATATTGGACCGCATTGAACTGTGAGCATACCGTGGGTTTATATGAGTCAAGCCTATTGCTCCCGGATGACCAATAGATCCTGGTACTGAGTGATACTGAACTGTTTCCCGAGCAAGGTGTGGAGAACTTGAGTCCAGCGGGCAATGTATCGGATCTGCTTGATCTAAGCTTCGAGTGACTAGTAGCGGAATCGAAGCCACTGCTGGAGAGGATAGATGTCCGAAAGGATCAACATACAAACGATGAGGATAACTGCTCCGATCGAACTCTAATGGATCCGGTACAGAATGAGGTGGTGGTGGAAAAGATCCGATATGCCGATGTGGACCAACCGGAGAATTATGCATAGAAATAACTCCTCGTTCCAGCGAATAATCTGCCCCATGGGGGCGAGCTCCAGGAGTCAAGCAGGCAGTAGGTGTCTGTTGATAGAGACCAGTTGGGCCACCAATTAAAATGGGTTCATCCAGGCTTCTCATGGAGATCGGGTTCCCGGATAATCGCGCAGGTTGAGGAAAACAGGCACTAAGTTGTCTCATTGGTTGTTGCTGGTGTTGTTGCTGATGATGCTGATGCTGTTGCACCACGTCTACAGAAGCCCAGTCCAGACTGCTGCCTAAACCTGAGGTGTCAGCACTACCCCAATGTTGAGCGCTGGCTTTTCGTTTCTTCGCTTGTTGAGTTCGCGATATGTGCCACACGCCTGGATCTTGGACATCGTGTGGAACCGAGATGGCCAAAGAATCTCTTGCACCTAATCCGGATCCTGATCGCGGTCGTAGTCGCATTCCAGACTCGGTCGAAAGACATTCCTGAGCCGAATGTAGGCGACGCGGTACAGTTCGAGGTGATTTAACCTGACCTGGAGAATGGGATGGGTTTTTCACTTCAAAACTGACACGTTGTTGAGCAGAGGTTAATGAGGCGCTCATTGAACCACACTGTAATCCGTCCGAGTGCAAATCCACCGAGACTCCGGAATCTTGAGTTTTAACCAGGGAATCTTTACTCCAGAACGGTGAAGCCCCGGTAATTTCCGTTGTCGGCGGTGGGGCCGTGGTTTTATCTGTCTCATCTGTACATTTGACCGCCGCACGAGCCGCCAATGACCACAACTTTCGACGCCTCTGGCTGGACATTCGATGGAACGAGTAACTTTCATCAATATCTCCCATCCTTTCACTCCCAATTGGCCCCGTTCGCCTCGATCAGAAAAGACTTGTACAGAACAAAAATGAGGCAAGATTTGCCCATACCGTGGTCCAATCCATCCAAAGCGCCTGCACAAAATCATGCATATTCCGATTTACAGGGCCAGTGGACTGGTAGTTGTTATCTTTGGCTTTTTGTAGAAAATTGAAAGTCATTGCTCGGTGAATTCTACAAATCGCACAAGCCAGAGAATATTATGATGATTGCACGGAGAATCCGCATCAAGCACACAGACAGGACACACACGGGTGCACACACACTTATATGTGCACGGAAAAATTGCACCGGAGAACGTGTACTCTTAGGTAAGTACAATCAACAATAATAACAACAACAACAACGAAAATTCCGAATTAGGTTTTGAAGGTGTAAATTTCAGAAACCGTTGATGATGAGGATGACAGTGATGGCGATGAGAACGATGATGAGGATGATGATGTGGAGGATGTCTTTTCCGTCTTTCGCTCTCTCCCACACTCTCCCCCGTTATGCGAAGCAGTCGTTTATTCCCAGCGCAACAGGATTGGTCCCCTGGTTCATTGAAGATTTGATTGGATCTTGCCTACTGTGAGTTGATTGCCCAACTCGCCTAGGCTTAACCGGTCGACTGGTTGGCTGGTTGGTTGGTTGGTTGGATGTGTTGGGTGCTTTCGAGATAGCTCAAAAGTCCAGTCGATCCACGTGTTTGGGGGACAGGGATATATGCGCATAAGTGCGCACGATACCCGGTTGACCGTGTGTGTATGTGCTTTCAGTACAAACCGATGATGATCCAGGTGCTTAGCGTAGTTATTGTTGTTGTTGTTGTTGTTGTTGTTGCTGGTGCTCGTGCTCCTGGTGTTGTGCATGTAGTAGATATGTGCATACACCAGTGTGTGTGTGTGTGTGTGTGTAATTGTGCATGAGTGTATACTCACGAGTCTATCAGTGTGGATTACCATAGAGGTGTTTAACTGCCTGAGGATGTCTGCCTTTCACCGTATGAAACTAGGTCCACATAAACACACCCACACCCACACACGGCATGGATTGGGACTGGCGGCTGTGCTCAATCCCCGTGCATTCTTATGTCCGTGCATCGTCGTCAGTCTGCCCCTTAGTAGTTAGTAGGTGTGTATCCCATCTTATCTTATCTGAGACATGCATCTCTGTGTTTTGTTACAACCGGAGATGATGAGAACAATACGACGACAACGACGACGACGACGACGACGACAACGACGACGACGA